CGTCACTCCACCTAGCTGGAGGGCGCCCTACACTACGTTTGCCTAGACGCGGTCTCCACTCCAGAACACGTCTACCCCAGCGGTCATCGGTTCTTCGACAAATGTGACCGGCCCACTGCCATTTCAGCTTGCTAATCCTTTGGGCTACATCGGTAACTTTAGTTCTCTGTCGGATCACCTCGTTACGGATCCTATCCTTCAGAGATACTCCGAGCATAGCCCTCTCCATAGCTCGCTGCGCTACCTTAAATTGGTGGACCAGTCGCACTGTTAGTGTCCACGTCTCGGCTCCGTATGTCATGACTGGTAGGACGCACTCGTTGAAGACTTTCGTCTTCAGGCTTTGCGGTAGAGTTGACGAAAAGACCCGATAGAGTTTCCTATATGCCGCCCAGCCAAGCTGTATCCTTCTACGAGCCTCCCTCTCGAAGTTGTTTCTACCAAACTGTAGGGTTTGTCCTAGGTAGACATACTCCTGAACAACCTCGAGAGTAGACCCATTCAGTTTAAGTAACAAATGGAATTTTTTGTCAAAGTGCAGAAGTTATTTGCAACTTATAGCGAGATACTATAAAGGGTGTGAACAGAACGTCCCCGAAACGCTGACAAAAATAAATTATTTTAACAATTTTAATTATTTTCAACCGACTTCAAAAAAGAAGGAGGAGGTTTTTTTATGTTTGTTACTCGATTACCCGAAGACGCTTTCAAATTGTAAAACTTCTTTTTTTGTTTGAAAGGTTAGGCTTGTCATTTGGTCCCATTGTCATGAAGTCAGGATCTGATGATGGAACCCCAGGGGACTTCTCACCTATCAGTGGGTGTGTAAGCTATAAGTACGTATGACCAATAATAGTTATTTTTTGCTTTTTAGTTTTTACTTTTCGTTTGTTTTTAGATTTTGAAGTCGGTTTTTTTAAACGCGGTTTTTTATTTTTATGTTTACGTGTTATTCACGCAACGACAGCCAGAGCAGTTATTACGACGACAACTATTATTACATAAAATAAACTTTTAACTCCTTACTTTTATGAAATCAAAACTTATTGTTTACCGGCTCTTGTCAGCATTTCTCGGTAGCGTCCGGTTTATACCATATACATATATCGCACCTAACGGTGCAATATCGTCACTTATGCAATTTTTGTCAAAACTTAACCGATTATGAAAGAATACTCCAAATTCACCTCTTTACTTGGTGCGTTATTTATTGTCACTTGTATAGTAAGCAAACTGACATTGTGAGGGCATTACTGTCGTTACGGTTTTGGCACTAATCTGGACGGCACTAGGAAAAACAACGTTTCATTGTTCAGTTGCGCGCAATACATAAGTGACGGTATAGCACCGGAGGTACGATATGTGTAAATGCTGAACTGCTAAAAATATAGTCTCTTTACAAAATTCATGTCGTGGTGGCCCAGAGGCTTATGACGCCTGCTTCTCATGCATGACAGTGCAGGTTGCAAACCTACCAACCGCAAGTACCAATGTGACATTTTCCGAGTTATATGTACTTTCTAAGATTATCTAGACACCGCTGACAAACGGTAAAAGAAAACATCGTAAGGAAACCTGGGCTTTATAATTTCTAAATATAAATTTGAAATCGCCAACCCGTATTGATCAAGCGTGGCGATTAATGCTAATACACATCTATTAGTCCCATTTAAAAAATGTAATAGTTAATCGTACTATCTCTAGTGTCGTACTATGTTCAAATTAAGAAATAAAACATAAAACCTAAGGTTTCTTGCTTAAGCTCGCTCTAGTGACTACAAGAAAATAAATACACTACTGAAAGTTCTCCAACTTTAACTTTGTGCAAATTAGACATCGTATATTATTGCTACTTGTTTACATTTTTTTTTTTTTTATCTACATTACACTACAAGACATAATTATTATACACAAAGACGCCAATAATATAAACTATATGAATAGAATACATATGAATATAATGTATGCATACTTTATGTACGGTATGTACCTATACTTAAAATAACATAAAACATTTACATAATTGTTGATGACAGCCATAGAGGCGGGGGTGACTCAATAAAAATGAATTCCCAACTTTATCAGTTTTACATCTAGGTCATTTTTTATCTAGCCACCAATTACAGACATGGCTCTTGGTAAACAAAAATATTACACAACATAACATTAGTGAACACACCCTGTAGGTAGGTACAGTCGTCAAACTAAGTGCTTGATTCACCCAGAGTGATCAATGTAATTTTTTTGGTATATTTATTTCCAAGTCTAAAATTTTCAAGCACTTGTTTTATTGATGGGCGACACCACGGACACAACGAGGACGAGAGTGGGCGTCAGTCTCTGCACAGAAAATTAAACTGTCAAACACCAAGCGGTCACCGGTGACCGCAACCTATTGTTCTATAATTGTGTCTACAAAACCGGTACTCGACGAGTTAAATGTTAGTACCTATGGTCGAAAACAGAATTTGCTGACTGTACATAAGTAATAAGTAAGACAGGTGCGTCGGATTGCGCATCTTAAGAGTAGAAATGATACAAATAAAACGCGAAGCAATTAACCAAGCACGCAGTTCCCTTTCACTGATGATATGAAGTGTCCGAATTGTAGCGACGCCGACGACTAGAGGCTCATGAGCTCATGCTATTCGGCTTGGGCTAAATATTCGGCCGTTTTATGTAGTAGTTAGTAAACCTTAACTGCGGAAATACGAAGTTAACTTTTAATTTTTTACGCTTTTAAACATACATACTTAAAGCTTTGTTGTTTTTTTTCTTAAAAAATGTACATAAGACGATGACCACATCGATTGCACGATCAAAAAATTTTACCAACTAAATTAATAATTTCTTTTTCGAATCATCAAATTAAAATAGTTTAAACTAACTTAACTTTCTCGATTGTCATCGAAATGTAATTTCAATTACTCAATAAAATTCGGCTTACCAAAAGATTCGGCCTAAAACCTGACCTTGTGTCTCACTCTAGAGATAAATCTTACACCACTATCTACGGTGATTACGTTAATTCTCACGTCTATCAAACGGATAATTTTCGCTCAATTTATTAACAACATGGCGCATCGTTTGTCGATTTAATTTTTATTAAAGAACTTGTTTTGACTAGGTATGTCGTAAATATATCTTACAGACTTTTATTGGTCTAAATATTTAATTTCATAATCTTAACATAAGTAGGTGTGCTAGTGTGCTAACATTTTGCGATCTAGAAGTCACATGATGCAGTTAGAGTTTAGCATTTTGCATATTATCTACATTTTCTCGATAGTCTGGATGTCGCAATCGCCATTATTGCGAGTCCGTGATTCGCATACCTCCGGCTATCTACAGATTAAACTAAGAAGTACTATAATTATATATATAGTTTATTAATTTATTTTTTCCTTTGGTGACGGTAAACGATATAATTTTTAACTTTCTTCCCTTTTTTTTTCAAATGATTTTCGTTGCTTACGTCCGTGCGGTATTGCAAGGGTGCCAACTAAAAATCAGTGTCTGATACTTACTGTGCCCAACTCATATTTAGTTGGCAAACCCTTTTGTCATGGGCATGTTGCCACCTTGTTGTTTTTTTTTATATTGTTTTTTTTTGTTATTATTACTTTTTTTCCTGTTGTTTTTTTATAATAATTCTATGTTTTTATATCTCTATTTAGAACATCATGCCTATAAATTATTTTTCTTAATTTCTTTCTTTCATCTATAAATATTCAATAAATACACATACAAATTCAGTTCATTGTTACATAACAAGCTTACTTCTACTCATAACACATAAGTGACGCACATACATAACCGACCATCACATCATCAAAAATTGTCACAACCCACAACTACACATTGAAATAGTTCACATCACATATACCTATTACAAAGACGTTACAACCGAAACCTTACAACACTAACAAGTGAGAAAGGAAAATCGAGGGCGTGAAAGAAATCAATTTGAAAGAACAACAATACTCGTATTATGCAAAATACCTGATACCTTATATCAGTAAGTAAAACGGTAGGTAGAAAGTAATACTTAAGTTTTCATTGTTCCTAACAAATACCAGTATTATTGGTAAACTACAGTGCCTGGTGATAAATATTGCACATCCACATTTTGAAGAGACAATCGACCAAGTCACCTCATATACGTGACGAGGTACTGTTTATGTTTGTCGCGGATAACCTAACGGGTTACCGGGGCTCCGGCTCGAAATGCAGGAGAAGGAATGGGGTTTTTATTCAGTAAGAGTCTGACACTCCCTCCCGCCTCACCCAGGCGGGAGAAGTCATTCGATGGTTTTTCCCCCTTAATAAAAACTGTTCATGTTTGACTACCCCTAAAAACTAGGAAGTCCAGTCTTCTGTTCCAATCATAAAAAGATAAAAAATGTACTAATAAGTGATTACACGGAATTCTCTCTCTTCAAAATTCTATGTGCAATGTTTATCACCTGACACTGTACTGCAGGGTGTTCCCCATTACATGGTTCGCTAGTTTGAATAGTGAAAACAATTCAGGGCAGCATCATGCCCACTATTCTCGGACTTCAATTATAGTCAAAGTGTTACGTCAAGTACCTGTGTATGTCTGTTATGTCATCTTCTTGAAATTGGTTTTTTGTTGGTATTTGATCTACATACCTGGGATATTTGAGCATTTGTTTTATTAATGACTTGTGTTATAACTCCGCATTCTGTAGGTATGTTTCATTGGGTATGGTTTCGGTTGAGCAAGTGTAATTAAGTTCTTTATGTCAATTTTCTATGATTGTAATTAAACCTACAAGATGCCAAACGTACCAATTACTACTACTACATGCTTAATGAAGATGAAATGAGTTTCATAAATCATGGTAAGGTTTTTCATTCTGACCAAACCGTTTCCCTCATTGAACAATGAAGGAATAAAATGTCGGGAAATAATCGCAGAGCAAAATGAAAAGCGTGATCAAAGAAAAATATGCAATATTTATTTCCTAACAAAATATAACAAATAACATACTTAATACACAAACAACAATAAATCCTAACACCTAACATCTAAATAGTATCCCATGGCAATAAATATCTGTGGTTAACATAGTGGCAACTATATGTTCAACAAATAACTCTATCAGTACGAGGCACTTACATGGCTATAGTTTAGCATAATTACGACTTGCCGAATACGCGTTCTTGTATGAGTTGGAATCAGACGAAGAAGAATACTCGCTGCTGTGAGCAATATCATTGTCCTCCTTCGGAACACTTTGTGACACGGGACCTTGTAACTTTTCATACTCCGTCGTCGATCCTTGAGGCACATACTGAACGTTGTACTTGCTCTGAGCATTCGTTGGATAGTAATTATAGAAACTCTGAACTGGATTTTGGTATAGAAGGTTGTTGTATGGAGACGGATTTGGTTGAGCAAAGAGCAGCATAGTAGATGGTTGGCCTAAGTAAGATCCTCCAAGAGGCAAAGGCTGGTAGTTCGGCACATTATAATGTCCCTGAGGCAAAGGATTAATCAAAGGAGTCTGATGTGGACTTATTTGATTAGTAGGAGCTGGTGAAAAGAGCTGAGGAGCATAAGGCACAATAGGTTGCGTAGGGTAACTAGTAGGCTGCTGCAGGAAAGTCAACTGGATATTCCCATTCGATTTAGAAGGTACTATTTGGTATTTAGATTGGTAGCCTGGATTTGGCACAAAGTTCAATGGCACGAATTGTGATGTGGTCGGTGGTGGTAGCAGGTTGATTTGAGGCTGCTGCTGGGTATAAGAAGAGGATGATGATGATTCGCTCGGTGTGTTTGGTGACGAGTAATACTGGCTACTCGCCTGACTCGGATAGAATGAATTTGGCACTTGAGACTGGTAGGACGATGGGCTGGTCGACCCGCTCTGTGAACTAGGATTCTGTGTGTAAATGCTATAAGTGTAGTCTTGCTTCTGTGCCCCTGTAGGAATAGCATTCAGGCTGGTTGCCTTGCCAGCATTACGTTTCTTCTGCTCCACATCCTCAACCTCAGTACAACATGCCAGTGTAGCGAAAGCGACGAAAATCTGAAACAAATTACAGAACAATCAATCATAATGTTAATATCTACGAACATGAAGAAGCCAATCAATCAAGTACCTCGTTATCGTAATACATATTTATTTCACATCATACAATAAATCGAGAACGTTTACTTTTGCTTCAACGGGTTATAATAAATGGCTTCTAAAGTAACGCCCAAATGTTTGATCTGTTTCAATTAAACGCTTGTTATTACATTACATAAGGTAGAAACTTACCAAAAGCTCCCATTTCCCCATTTTGTTCAATGTTTGCAAATAATGCGTTAATATAATTACATTATTTACTTGTAGGAAAACGCGTATTGCGAAAGGAAAAGTGTTCTATTCACCAGGGCGCTCGGAAAAGTGTAAGACGGTATCAAGTTCATGCATTTATATGAGCGGCCGTGGACAACTTTCCTCAGTTCCAGATCACAGCGAGGGAAGTGACCGCTCGATAGGTCTTTGTCCTGCATCGGAACGTATCCAGTTTACTCCGATAGTATCAGTTTCCTACCACGGCAAGCGGAAACGCGTTGCGGTCATACCTTCATATTTCTAAGTCTCAGACTTGCACGTTTACTTCCACCAACGTATAAATTAAAGCTAATATTGAGCGCAGTGCATTGCCAATTATTGGAACGTGATTTATTATCGCTTCTATCTCTTAACTAGCTTTACAAGAATTCCCTTTCACGTCACTGGAAGTATAAAACAAAGCAAAAAGTTTAATAAAACGTTTAAGATAAACGCAGATTTAATCTACAAAATGCGTGAGGGTTACGCAACTTTATCTCAGAGGCTTCGATCGCTAATATAGCATCAGTAAAATGATCTTGATAAGAAGTCGGTTACATTTTACTAGTGATCGCAAATCGAGCAAGTGTAAAGGAAACAGTTCATTATCAACACGTGCAAGTAAAAGGGTTCTCGAGGTATCTCAAGAGCTTTCTACTGCGCCTGCGCGAATTACCTCTAATTGTGGCTAGCAGGTGGCTACTAATGAAAATTGTAGAAGACCACTCATTTCATCGCAATTGGTTGTTGCGTAACACGTGTCATTATTTAGTTCTATGGGAACGGAAACTAAAGACCAAATCCTTATATCCTTTTGAGTATGTAATAAATTATTTTATGTAAGTAAATACTAGTTAGATAACTTTATAAACCAGCTTATTTTACGTATCTTAACTTTAGATTACTATCTAAAATCAGCCTGAGATGGCTATTACCACCTTCCATCGTAGTTAATAACATCGACATTCATTAATATTAGTATATAGACTTCCAGGCCGTTAATTACTTATTAATGTTCCTCCATCAATCAGCCTATAAGATTAATATAAGCTTCACAATTTCCTAGTCTATTGATTTGATTCTAAGGTAAATACGTAATAACACATTCGGAGGAGATGTATCTAAACATTTACTTTGACTTTGACTGCACGGTCGGTGTGGTGGCTGGGCAACTGGCTACCGCGCAAAGTGTCGCGGGTTCGATTACCGCACGGAGCAACGCTTTGTGTGATCCACAGATTGTTGTTCCGGGTCTGGGAGTAATGTGTAAGTGAAATTGTCTGTTTGTAAACGCACCCACGACTCAGAAGAAAACGCTAGTGTGGGGCAACGTTTTTTTTTTAAAAATACAGAAGTTGAATTCAATAATTTATGTGTCGGTAGATTTATACACTACTTACAACTATCAACGAAATCTGAAAATTATAAATGATATTTTGATTAACTCCTTATTAAAACCTACCGACAAATATGATAACGCGATTGCGACCAACGCCATAGGAGGAATAGTAAATAACTTTTACTTTTCTTCGATTTCGAATGTATCATACAATTAACTTTATGCTCCACTTTTGCCAAAAAATACTGGAATAAATATGGGCGAGGAAAAAAAGATAAAATAGAACCTATCAATCGATTCTAAATTCGAGTCGGGAACCGGGAACTGCTTTGAACTGATTGGTTGCTTCATTGGTGCCGCCGGCCAATAACGCGTACTCGTTTCGAATACTTTAAAAGTAAATCAAACTCGTACTAAGGTCTCTGATGAACATTAAACGTCTAAACATAGTTCACGATGTCTAAGATATTTTTTTTTAGATTCCATGTTCAACGCCAGGTACGATAGTAGTCATAATCGATCAACAACTTACGTCAAAAGTGCTATCAATGATTTATCGATGAAGGAAATCAAAAATACACAATGATTGATTCTCTCTGCTAAAAAATATACAAGTCAGCAATAAGTTAATGTAATAAGTGATCCTTGACTAAGTAATCAATCAAATATCTATGTTGCCAGTACTGAACTTTTAAAATAAGGAAGCTAATTACGTAACGCCATCGCAGTCCACTAATCCACCAACCGGGCTCACAACACAAGTCCAATAAAAAAGTATGGAAGGGATCAACCAATATCATCACGCCTTTTATCCCCGAAGGGTTAGGCAGAGGTGGTACAACACTTAATGCCCATGTACAATGTAACACCCACTTCTGACTATTTATGTTATAAATCCCATGTAATAGGAGGTGAACCTTGCCTATTGCCATGGTCGAGCATAATATTTTTTTAAATAATTCCATATCGCAGGCTTCGTTCTACCACTGATTATTAATTTTAAAAATTCTTTGCCTGACTCGGGAATCGAACCCGAGACCCCTGGCCCGGCAGTCACACCTATTAGCCAATGAGGCAGTCAAATGTATCGAAAGGAATATGACAGATATCTCCTATCATATGTAGGTACTTATATTCTATGTATAACAAATAATTAAATATGCATCTCTGCCTATCTCTTATGAGAATTTAGAGTATGAGGTTTTATTTGTATGTAAGTATGTATATTTATATATATTAAAAATAATGATAATGTTTACTGTTGCATAATGATAAAAATGTATTTATGTTTTTAGAAATAAGATGTCCTCCTGTAACAATAATGTATAGAGCTCCTTTCGCCTGCGATACAGGATTGTCCTAGTGCGGGCATCTAACTTTATAAGATCAATTTTACTTACTTAAGACATATTTTGTATTTTGCATTTTTGAATTATTAATAAATTTTATTATTTATTATTATTTATCTGTAAGGATTTGTTGAATCAAATATAAAATAATAAAAGAAAGCAGTCTTTCAATTGCAATGGAATGTACATACAAACGTAACTTCACGCCTGTCTCCCACGGGGGTAGGCAGAAACTATTAAACGCCAATTGCTTGTGGGATGTTTAAGATAAATAACTGCAATAGCGTTATTCCATCCATGGCAGATGCAAGATCAAAACGAGAGAAAAAACTAAGAAAAATTTACCATCTCTATACAACAATAAGGCAAAACCTAGATATATTCTACAAATGCACAACACACATGCATACTTCGTTCATGGTATTCCTAATGCAATGATTACACCAGATCAAACCTCTCTCTGATTCTAATAGCTTTAATGGCGGCATATTATCACGAATCCAACAATAATGTACAGCAATTACTTAGTTTAAGTGTAGAAAAATAGAGTTATTAAATGATTTCGACAGACATCCAGATGTGTTAATGTTGTTCAGTTTAAGAACAATTACTCTGTTATTAGTGGGGCTGTTGTGCAAAAATATTTTGTTGCTGTTCTCTTTGTAGTAGCATTAACCTAGGTTGTTACTAGTACACTAACAAGCTGTTACAAAATATTTTGAGTATTGATATTGAGACAGTTTTTAACCGACTTCATTTCCATTTAATGCATGAGATACTAATACATTTTAACTCCTAAGTTTGAAAGAGGATCAATTTAAAAGAGGCAATATTATTTGTCAACTTTGTGTAAATATTTTAATCATTTAAACTGTCAACCACCAAGCGGTCACCGGTGACCGCAACCTATTGTTCTATAATTGTGTCTACAACCGGTACTCGACGAGTTAATTTTATCAAGTAGAGCATAATTTTATCAAGTTAGCAAACTACATACAAACTTCATTACAGATCTAAAAGGATCCATTGATAATTCTATTTATTCTTCTTTAAAATTAATATGTGCAAATGATTGCTAGTGCCATCTATGAACCCCGCGATGAACTAATACAAGAGGCATATCGAACCTTTCACTGCGTAGCCGTAGTGAACGGATACTATACGATGCTGATATAATATAAGACAAGTTGCTATACCGGATTACTTTCCATTTTGTATAGATGGTGCTGCTTCTATACATTGCAATAAGATAATATTCTGGTATCGTACTTGTCGGCAGCACCGTTGACCGAGTGAAGGGCGACTGCCGGAGAAGTGATCTCGGGTTCGATTCCTGGGACAAGCAAAGAATAACTAAATTAAAAAAAAATCTCATTTCTCTCTTGGACTTGTGCCCGGTATATGGCAATAGGGTCACGCCCTATTACATGGGACTTATAACATAAAAGTGTAAATTGGGTGTTACATTGTACAGTGGCACTAAATGAAGTAATGTGCACCTCTGCCTAACCCTTCGGGGATAAAACGCATGATGATATGTTAGATAGGTACTTAGTTTCTATAAATATTTACCAGTTGGAGCCTGAAAATGAAGCTAGTAACGTAGAAAGGAGAATTAAAAAGATAATAATATCTTCTCTTTTGATGTGGAAGTGTAAAAAATAAAATTTCATTCGGTTTTCTTACAAGAACTGCTTGTAACGTAACTAAAGCATTTGCGTCCGTTTTATCCCTTGAACTTTTACTTAAAAAGTACTCACTGCTTTTGGTGGTTTTGCTAATGACCTCTCTATGGTCATATCAGATTACCGTGTCCCTTCAAAACTATAAATAGCCAATCTAAGACCATTAAACATATTACATTGAAGTGCATTCGCCAAATGTGGGAGCATCGACGTGAAGCAACGCTTGCGTTGTGTTTCCTCGTGTGAGTGAGGTTACCGGAGGCCCAATTACCTTCCCCTTCCCCAATCTCCCCAATCCCTGAATCCTCAAACTCCTAATCCCCAAAAAGCCGGTGACGCACTTGGAGCGCCTCTGGTGTTCCAGGTATCCATGGGCGACACCGATTGCTTACCATCAGGTGATCCGTCTGCTCGTTTACCGGCTTATGCCATAAAAAAAACCATAAGATGCACGTAGGCAAACTTGGACTAATTAGGTACCGATAATAATTCATAGCCACTTTACTTTCTCATTAAGTGAAATAACGCCTTCATAATTTATTGCTTCTTGCAATTAAGTATAGGTAACAGCGGAATTATCGTAACTAGTGACGTCATCACATAAATCTGAAGCCCACTCGTCATTCTGAAGGTAGTTAGATATAAAGTTACATGAAGTTATACCTAT